GTGTACTGCAGCCGCAGTAGAAGTGGTGTTTCTTGGGCAAGAACCCTCGCCAGACCGGTTTTAAATTCAGTTTTTCCTTCTCCTGGACTGGTTGCCAAGGCAATCCAGTCTTACCTGCTATTTACCCATAGCCAAGGTGGGAGGGGGAGAAGAAGCGGATTCATACCTTTCACTAGGGTATTAGCACGTAAGTGAATGTAATGGATCCGACTGGAATTCGAACTTGGCTCTCCGATTCCACAATCCAAGCCACTAACCGTGCCTTCTTAATTGAACTAGAACTGATTAAATGACACTATTAGATAACTGAAGTAAACCCTATTGTTTATTTAAATGTTTAAATCAGCTCGTAGCAGACCGCACAAAGATTAGATGTGCTATATTTTAGCCAGTGTGACCACTTATATAAAGATTTCTCAAAGAAAAGAAGAATCCCCAGGTTGTACAGAGTTTGCTGTACAGAGAATACCCTTAGGCTGTAACAGAGTCTGCCACGTTGAACTCCAGTGTCACATGTACAGTCGCCCCTCGGATGTGCTGTCAAACAAATAAAGGTAGCTTCATTTATTAAAGAGTGACTGTCATTATCTTTGGGGCGTCCGAGTAAATCTTTCCCCAACTTCATCTCTTTGTTAACATACTCTGACCATGGCAGTTTCAACAAAAACAAACGACAAGCCATCTTAAAAGAAAAAAAAAATAACAAATCACAGCGTGCGGACGATTATTTGTTCGGTGAATCTGTCGTGACACCGAGATGTGGTGACATAGGTAAATTTCATTAGAAACAAAGATAAGATTCCTCAACTGCAACGTTATATCTCTCCTTAATAAAAGTTAGGCAAATTCCTTACAGATGAAGAAGAGGCTTGATGCAACAGATGTGCTTCTAAAGACGGATGCTAAGAATAAGATCAACTGTGCATGTGCTATGTACCTTCATGACGTTGGCGATCATGGCTCTCCACAATTTCATGTCTTTTGTAGCTCTTAATAAATTTTGTCCCTTTGTTATCTCTCATAAACCCTGTTCAGCCATCCCTTTATCCAAGCTCGCTAGGTAGGTTATGCTTTGTTTTCCTATGTCCCTCTTGTCCTGTGAGTATCAAATTTTCCAAGCTCTCTTTCCTCATTATGTGCCCTAGAAATTTCAACTGTTTCTGCCTGATGTTAATTATAAGTGTCCTTTTTGTTTCCATTTTCTCTAAAATTTCGTCGTTGCTCATATGTTCAGTCCATGATATTCTCAGCATTCTTCTGTCAAAACATGACAGCTGAAATTTTGAAATCAAATTCAGAATAGTCGAAAAACAGAGTCTGTCTATATCTCTAAGATTAGGTATTATGATTACTTGCATTATTTACATTATTCATACTATTATCCACATCTTCATTGCCATATTCACAACGCTTCGGCCTTCTTCAGGTGATTGAAATTTCGAACTGAAGCTTTTATTTCGTCCACCGGGGTAGATTGTTCTAGTTCGACATTACGGACGTATCAGTTATTTCGCTTTAACTCAAATCTCCAAGTTTTGGTTCACCATGCTGTGGCCTGGTATTGAACTCACAACGCAGAGTATTGCTGCCCTATCTCTGCCCAGTCTTCACTTTCTAACCTTGATAGAATTCAAGGGCGTATACGCGGTCTTGTGAATGAACCTTTATACTCCACTTTACATGCTCTTTGCCCACAGACTCAACGTCGCAAGCTTCTCACTTCTCTAATGCTATTTCCGCGACAAATGTTCAGAGGAGCTTCCTTATTTCTTTTCACCAGTTCAGACCTTTGCAGCTTTACAGTCGAATCGACTTCATTTCCTTCGTATTCAATATGTAAGGATACACAAAGTACCACAAAAGCAGCATTCCCTTCAATTGATACTTTGTGAAGCCGACTCCCGCATGGATGCTTTCCTGAGCACGACAATCTTAACCACTTCAAGTCAATGTTCAGTCGGTATCTATCCTCCTTCACTTTCACTCGAATTGCACCTCATTTATCATAACCATTTTAATAGTAACCCCTATCTTGAGTGACTCTCGAGCTTTGTATTGAATGAAATATATTATTTTATATATATATATATATATTTATTAAAGACATTTTTTATGTTTAACGTTGTTATTTATAGATACAAGTATTTAAGCAAATGCTCTGTTTATGATAAACAGTATTAAATAAAATTTACCGGCCTGAATGTCCGAGAAATTTTCATAGAAAATATTCGTTCTTTGACAGGATTTCTCGGACATTCAGGCCGGTAAATGTTATTTAATACTGTTTATCATAAACAGAGCATTTGCTTAAATACTTGTATCTATAAATAACAACGTTAAACATGAAAAAATGTCTTTAATAAATAAATTGTCGGACCTTGTCCATTTCTTAATATATATATATATATATATATATATATATATATATATATATATATATATATATATATCGAGCCTTGTATTGAGTGAAATTTATTATTTTATATAATATTATAATTGTTTTTATATATATATTATCAACGCAATGCCAAAATTCCCATATTTCAAAACTGAAACTCCAATTCAAATTCAGTCATAAAATTAAACTTAAAATACAAAGTTCCTTTCCATTATCAAGCGATGCTTATCATCGCTTGATAATGGAACGGGTATTTGTATTTTAAGTTTAATTGCGCGTTATACATTAGTGCATGAGAAATGGCGAGAAATGCCATATTTGTTTGTACTTTTCTTTCTTTGCCTATTTTGTCATTTAGCTGTTAGCTTTCTGGGCTACCTGCATTCTTTTGTTCGCTCTTTTCTTGACAACTTTCTTCGTTTATCTATTTTCTTGCCATCTTTCTAGTCTTGCTCTCTTTTTACCCTCCTTTTCCTATTTACTTTCTTTCTCTTTTCACCATTTTTCTCTTATCGATTTTCTTACATTCGTTCTTTTTTTTTCTTTCTTTTATTTTCTGTCTTACTTTTGATATTCGCTTCCTCTTTTTCTCTTGCTGATCTGCGGCCAATTTATGTTGACAACATTTGTTCTGCTTAATCGCTAAACTTGATAAATCTTGGCCAGGTCAGAACAAAATGGAAGCCAACGACAAACATTCGTTAGATGCGTGTGAAAACTATTACTAAACACTAATAGGACTCCTCGTTATGGGATATTGATTACTGGACTACCATGATTGACCCTTAACACTGACTAATGTTACGTCCTCAATGAGTGCTCCATACGATGGATTATTTCCCACCTTACAGCCCATTTTCTACAGACGAAACGTTGCGAGCCTATCTCTACTCTATCGCTATTTCCATAGCATGTGTTCTGACGAGCTACATTCCTTGGTCCCTCTAGCCACGGATACTATCTTCAAAAGGGCCACACCATCAATGGAGAGGACTATGCCAACTTGCTGCAGCAGCTGAGAAAGGCTATCAAAACCAAAAGCACAGGAAAACTGACAACAGAGGTCTCGTTTTATCTGTACAATGCTCAGGCATACAAGTCCTTGATTTCAATGGCTGCCATCTGTGAATGTGGCTTTGAAGTAGTTGATCACCCACCTTATTCTCCTGATCTGATTATCATCTGTTCCCAAACATGAAAAAACACTTGGCTGAGAACCAGTGTACCGGTGATTATGATGTCATATCTGCCTTTAATGACTTTTTTTACAGTCAGTTTTCAGTAGACCTGGAAACAAACAATGCAGTTATTAATAAGACGAGTTGAAATTAATGCATGCAATATTTCACAGCTCTAGCACAACGCCTTCATAGTCAGCCTATGAATTTTTCAATCCAATATTTATTAAGTCCAGAAATAAAACAGTTTTACGAATACAGGAAAAAACAGGTATGTTGTCAGTCTCGTTCACCGAAACATGTATTAAAGAAGGGTTGCTTTCCAAATACGCAGCTATGATAGATGTCACTCCAGTCTTACCTCCAAAGGACGGCATTTTGACCAAATAGGGTGATACCTTTATCTCGTGAAATAAACGGATGCCTACTTTATATTAGCTGTGTATGTGACATTTTCTGTCACCTAAAGTGTACACTATCTAGATTTATATGCAGTGGAAACGTCTCTTTAGGTCGCAAATTATTTTGGTTACGTATCTTTATGTACTGTTATGATGATAGTTTACATTCTTGTATTATTTTAAACTTGGAGAATAAAACTTCATAAAGATTTTATGAATTCAACCGACAGTAGTAATGGCTATTTGTTCAATGAATACTGAATGCTTCCTTATAAGGAAACTGTTAATATTACCTTTACCAATTATTCAATGATGAACAAAATGTATTTTTTTTCTTTTAATATTTGTGAAGTAAAAAGGTAAAAAAAAGAAAATGAAGATCCACATAATGTTTCAATATTTTACTAGTACAATGCAGTTTACAAAATGGCAGAAGTGTTGCACACACCTTATTGCAATACCGGCAAATTAATAATTATAATAATAAAAAAAAATGTATATTGAAATTTCTGATAAAGCGTTAATAGTAATAAGCCACTTCAAATTACGTAGTTTCTACGGTGAGGTCTGGATGTGAGGGCAGTGTAACGTTTAGTGATTCAGACACAGAAATCGGCGACCCGAGTTCAATACCTTCACTTTCACACAAATACCATCTGGAAAGGTATGAGTTTATCTTTTCTTATTCTTTCTCTCCACTATGGTTTAAATAGTAAGGCTGACTCGGCTCTCTTGCTTTGACGTGACAACGAGTCTAGGAGAAGAAAACCAAGCTGAAGAATAACTTGCTCGGTCGGGACACACTCCTATGACTTTGGAATATATGACGTCCCTACGACCCTAAACGTTTGTTGGTCTCGTGACGTGTCGGTTAGGTCTGATCTTTAGTTTTACTTTGCTGGGCTTACGAAATATCAATTGAGGCAGAATCTATAATTTTTGGTTGAAATTTTAGGAATCCAAAAGAGACTAAAATGTTTTTGAACATTCCTTTGCAATAAATGTCTTCTTTTCATCGAACAGGTTTGGTAACCAGAAATAACACCTTTGATCTGAGCTCTGAACAGCAACACCGGCGAAAGATTTGTGATGCAATCGCGGCGGCCAGTATTGTTCACAACTGCGCTGGGGTGGATACTTCCCAGAACAGATACATGGGTGTTCAGCAATTTCAACATTTTCTAGAAGATTATCAGGAAGAAAATGTTGATGATGAGAAGATTCTAGAATTGATTCAGGTAAGAAATGATTGTTTTTACTATTATTAATAATTTTAACATTTTCCTTCTGACTTGCATTTGTTTTGTAATCCCATGCCGGATCTTGACCAATGACCTTGGACAAGCGAACGATGTGATGTTTCCACTTAATTAAACAAAGGACAGCTTTTAACAAGAAAATTTAAATAGACAAAGTTCTTCCCAGGGCACGGACTGTACTTGACAGAATTATTTTTGGGGATTTCCTGGGAACATGGTCCACCAGGGATTTTATTGATTTGTTCTTAAGTTCCTTTTTGTATTATTATCATCATCATCATTATCGTCGTTGTCGTTGTCGTTTCCTTTGATTTATGCTGTCTACTCATTTCCAACCATATCCCAAGATCCAGAAATCGAATCATGACTTTTTCCATTTGTGCCAAGAAATATAAACGTATACATATTTTACATTATTATTTTTGTGACGTACGGTGACCGTTAATAATTAAGTATAACTCAAGACTTCAATGTTAAATAAATTAGTATTTAATTACAACCGCTAATAAATACTTAACAAGAACAAAGAACCAAAAGTCAACCAAAGGTAATTAGCCATTTCAGTGAATATCTTGTGTAGTAGCGTGGCTCAGCTTAACGTCCGGTAAATTCTAAATCAAAACCGAAATCATCGAGGCACAATAAATCACACTAATTCGACTGGATAGTTCCACTCAATAATCACCGCAGTAAGTAGCCTGACACCGCTATTTATACACCTGGCCGAAAACATATATTCATAAGTCCAGGGCGTGATGCTCGAATCTCGGAGTCGGTAGTTACTCATTTTCTTCCTATATGACATTATTATAATTTTTATTATTCATTGATCTTTTTGAACTCGTGTTTTCATTTTGGTTGTTATATTCAAAACGTTTCAGCAGTTCTGGCCTTCTTCAGGTATTTTTTGTGTTCGAATGAATACAACAAAGACATGAAAAATCCCTGATGGTTCAACGAAATAAAGAACACAAGTGAGGTTGCTGAAAAGTTTTTGGCCCAAACAGGTAGCAATTTCAAAAACTGAAAGTTTATTTGATTGGATTCTGAGTCGCTGGTTTGGCTTAGAACTTTTCTGCTCGTCGTAATGATTATTCTTCAACTTAGAAATTCAAACAGAAGATATTGCTATTTTTTCTTTTACCTACCTTACTCCTTTATTCTAATTATTATTTTTTTTTTTTATCATTTCCATTTCCTCTTTCTCCCTTCTTTTCTTTTTCTTCCTTTCTGAAGCCTTAGGTTATTTTCGTTAAGATTTTCTTTGTCTTTTTTTTCCTATTTCCTTATCTCTTATATGAATGTGTTATTTATTCTTTCTTTTACTCCGTGTGTGTTCATCCTTCAAATAACCTCACTTATGTAGACGTGCATTTATCCCCATCACTAAACATGCCATTACACTAAATATACATGGTTCTTAAACATTTTATTCCTTTAACATCGAATTCCCTGCCGGGGTGCAAATATCCAACTCTAATCAACCTGCTTATTTCTTTTCCGTGTAAATTCGCTCGTAAATTCCTGTACAATAATTACGATTGTAGCAATTGGATCGACAGGAACATTCACAAAAAAAGCCCTGAAGAAGGATTTTGAAAATTCGATATCTGAGAAAGAAACGAAAAACCATTTAGCAGGCATTATTGCCGAAATCCGCATAAATACTGATGTCTGTAATGGAGTTTTCTGTTGATTTGCTGTCTCTTGATTTCTAGTGAAAGCTAAGCGATTCAATCTCTATAAATTAAGAACTGAGTAGCATTATTGGTATTTGAAACTAGAGACTATAATATCTTATAGTCGTTTCAAAAGAGTGCTGCTGATTTGAGAAGTCCTACTGTCATTAGATGTCCAGCAAGGGCTGTAGAGAGTTCCACAAGCAAAAGTGTGATAGAAGAAACTGCCAGCATAGAACTTACGGTTAGATCTAGGCATTTCATTTGTAAAATGATGAAGCCTTGCTGCCAATCTAGTACTTCGCTTAAATTTGTACACTTTGTAAAATATATAAATGTTGTTAACAGCGGGGTCTTTTCAATCTTCTGAGCTATTAAAATGATTTGTTCATAGTACAGCCAGTTTCGGAATTTAGAACTTTTATTTTATTTTGTAATTATATAATTAAACAATGGTCTGTTTTATTTATCTCTTTTTAGCGCCATGAGCCAAACCCTGTTCTTCGGGAACACGCATTCCTCTCATTCGAAGGCTTCGCCCGATACCTGATGGATAAAGAAAACTATGCATATATCAATGAGAAATTCAAGTATCGCAAGGAGGTAAGACGTTACTTTTTGTGTTTGTGATCAAAGCTTATACTTACAATCAGAACAAGACCATTGTAATGTCTGAGACACATTATGAGGAAAGAGGGTTTATAAAATATAACACTCACAGGACATATTGAAAGAAGGAGCGGCTGAAAGAAACAGCGAGTAACCTACCTAATGGTTTGGGCTAAATGGATTGTCTAGTGGTAGTGTGTCAAGCATGGCTGAGAACAACAAAAGACAGGAGCTGATGTCTGAATTTCTGGAATGAGGAGTTATTATTTGCACTATTTATATTCGGACTACTGTCCTCATCTTTGTTGTTGTTATCACAATGTTTCGGCCGTTGTACCTTCCGGTCTTCATCAGGTGTAAATCGATCTGGGTAGACTACACAGAATTCTGAACCGAACTCTTTACTGGATTAGACCGTTCTCGTTCCAATGCCCATGTCTCGGGATATCGTCTAGTTTTTTTTTTTATTTTTTTTTTTATTTTTATTTTTAGTACTGCTCAGTTACTGCTCACCCGTTTGGACTGAGTTCAAGGGATTGAAGTCAGAATTACTGTCACTAAATTCACGAATCAACGCTTTAATCTACTCGAAATTTGGGGAGAATTATGATCATCTAGAAGGTCAACCTAGCTCCCTTTTCGCGTTCCAGATGTCATTGCATCATATTGTTATTCATGCAACAAGTTTTTTATTCAGTATGATTTGCCTTTTTTTTTATTTTGATTATTCTCAACCTTTACCAAAAGCATAACGTAAAAACGGACAATGGAGAAAAGACTGTGTTACGCCAATCTTTCAAGAGAGAATAGTCTGAAAAATTGTTGTTTTTTTTTTCCTAAGGCTTTGAAAAGCACTCACAAGAGTTACACTCCATCTTTTTTCAAACTATTTTACTTATACAATCAGATTTTACTTAACTTAACTTAGTCTGACACAAGGCCACTAAGCTTCGGTACTTTGGTAAGATCGAACTCACTTTGGTACTAAGAGTGTGCCTGACAAGCTTTCTGTATAATACTCAAAAATATTTACTAAACAAAGCCACGTTTGCAGGGTACCCAGATAGATGATCGAATTGGTCTTCATGGTAATGTAGATAACTATCGAGCTCTGTTAAATACCCATAAGCATAGTTTGACGCAAGGCCGCAATAATGGAGCTCACGGCACAAATGAATTGGTGAGACGAGCTTATGTTCCATTTTGATGGTTATTTTTTTTTTTTTTTTTTACTTAGTTTTGGACTCAATTAAGTAAATATAGAAAGATTGTGTTATGTTAATCACCGAAGTAGTGGGTTGACATGCCTGCCTTAAAATCAATATTAGAGACTCTGTCTTTTAGCTATGTTTCAAGAATATCTACTGTCACTGCTGGGTGATGCACAACAGTCTAACCCATCAAGCGGGTCTCAGCTTAGATCTTATTTTGATTCGATGTATGAGTAAATTTACTCACATGTAAATGTTCATTGGCAAACATTAATGAAAGGTCGGCAGTAGATAAGTCGTTCATCAGCAAAAGATGAAGCTTTTGATATTTGGAATCGAGTTGAAACGATCATCGTAGCCTCTGTTCTCGAATGAAATAAATCTACCGTGTCATAAAACCTTGCTTTGATGTGTTGGGCAGCAGAAAATTGAGGTAATGTATTCCTTTAAAGAAAAGTAAGAAACGGAACATTTAAAAAAGACGTTTACCAGAAATGCTCAAGGCTGGAAATGGATCGCTTTGGTTAATTGGTGTTCTTTGTGCCGGTTAAAAATGCAAGAGAAAAAAAAACAAAATAGATCTATGAATTGACTGAGATAGATAGATAGATAGATAGATAGATAGATTTGTGAACTGACTGAGATAGATAGATGATAAGAGATCTATGAATTGACCGAGAACTTTGTGAACTGACTGAGAGAGAGAGATCTATGAATTGACTCTGATAGAGAGATATAAGAATTGATAAAGAGATATATATGAAACGACTGTGATAGAGAGAGAGAGAGAGAGATCTATGAATTACTTGTGATAGAGTGGGTGATAGTCATTTAAGAAACATAGAAGATTGCATTGTGCATGAAACTCCGAGTCGTGCTACCAATGTAGAATTATATTTATTAATATATATATATATATAACACCATCACTTGATTAGACACCAGAAGTGTTGAAATAAAATAGCTATTTTTGTAGTGATTTTATAACATATTTGTTATAATTTTCAAATAAATAATTATATTTGCTCTACTCTGTATTGAGCACTCTTTTAAGAATAGTATTTGTTGGTTATTGGAATTTATTCCGCATATATATATATATATATATATATATATATATATATATATGTGTGTGCGTGACAGCAAGGAAAAACTTTGCAACGCTTTCCGTTTCTTGACGAACTTCAAAGGAAAATGCAGAGAATTTATTGAATAAAACCGTATTTATGCAAACAAGAAAATGTATCGTTGAGAAAATATAATGGTATACGTTGAAATTTAAATCTTCTGTTCTCTATATGCCGTGCCCTTATCACTCTTTCAGCAGAAAAACCCACACTTGGCCCCGTGACGTCCATACGATCTCACACAATGCCGGCTTCCGCCATTTGTAATCCCCTCTACTTGTGTCCTTTCTGTGATACCAGTAAAATCTCGTATGTGCGAGCAAATAGCGTTCTTTCCTTTAATTCTCCAATCTTACATATCATAGTGTACTCTCCGAACTGTTTGTTTTTCATTTAATTGTTTATTCTCTACTGCGTTTGTATCTCATAAAATTGTTTACTTTTCAGTGTCTTTGCCTCTCATTATGATTTTTGTATACTCCTGTGTGAACTCTCCTTTCTCAATGACTTCCTGCTGGTTTTCCTGTTAATTTTGTTTCTCTTCTGGTTATGTTTTTAGCTGCCAATAAATGCAGTGCTTTCGTATTTTATACTGCTTATTTGGTAATATATCTAGAATTGAATGACACGTTCCTGTCTTGCGCCGAAATTGTTAGCGACGGATGGGAGTCGATGTTCGAACCAAAATTAAAAACCAGGATTTGGAATGCTGATTTCCAATGCAGGCTTTCTCGACTTGAAGAATTTCGGCAACATTATATTCTCATTCTCTCACATTGGGCTCTTCTATTTGACTAAAATAAAGAACAATTTTGGTGCTTCTTTGGCAATAAAGAAATATCTACTTCGTACAAATTTTATTTTGGAATGATACTTAAATGGCAAAACATATAACATGAATATAACATAAAGTAAATGTAATTAAAATTGTTCTTTTATTTATATTCTAGCGATAAACAGCATGTACACCGGCTAAAATGTCTACACAGTACAAATTTTAATTTGGACATGTTGCTGCTTTGGCTTGTTATCTACAAGGAAAAGATAACAAACTAAAGTAGGACCTGTCTTACAATGTAGATATCATTCCAAAATAAAATTTGTACGGTGTAGATAACAAGCCAAATTCCAGCCATGTTCGTTATATTCACCCCTGGGAAAGGTATGAATCCATCTCTTCTCCCTTCCAGCTATGGGTTGAATAACAGGACAGACTAGGTTCAATAACCTTGATTGGCAACCAGTCTACCGCAGTCATGAATCAAGAGACATGAACGCCTAAGAGTGAATTACGCACGGCACTTAACTGACTAGATTAAACAGTAAATATATAAGTCGAAAACCTGCCGCAGTGCATTTTCGATCATCAGTAGATACCTGACAACTATGGTATTATGTCTGTAAGCTAAATTAATACTCTGATTGGATAATCCATTATAATATCCTTGTGCCAGTATAAGTTAAATTTAATCAATATTTACGCAAACGTTGGTGTATAAATAACTGTAATATAGCAAGAACTCTAAGTAGAAGCTTATGACGTTTTATTTGACTAATTCAGCTTTTAGCTGAACATATTTTTTTTATTATAGTGGATGGCTACAAACGAGAGGGGAGATGGGATGAGATTATTTTATTACCACAAATAACAGAATGAATTTACAATTTATTCCTGTATAATTCTAGAATCTTTTTTCATATAAAAATTAGTAATAATTTTTTTTAAATAATGTCAGAATCTTTCCATCGTTGTTTTTAAATAATAATTTATTCAGCCGCAGATTTCACTCGGACAATAAACTTGTCCGCTGTCTTGATGTTATTTTTTATACTAACCGATTCTAAAAGTGATATTAGAATTTTCTTTTGAAAATATATAAAGCAAAAAAATAGCAGTAATTATAAAGCTTGTTAGCTTTGGTCCTAATTTTTATCTATGGCAAGTGTTATAAAAGGACACTAACGTTGATAGGATTTGTCCGATATTGCACCCTCCTATGTTCTCAACCTAGAAAATTCGAATCTGTTTCTGTTACTCTGTGTATTAATCATTGTTTATTACTCTGAAGCTTCTTTACATGGTTTTCTTTGAAAGATTATGTTGTATCAGTGCCATGAACGTGAGAAGAAATTCACTGCATTGTTTGTTTGATTTTTTTTGTTTGTTTTGTTTTTAATGTTGTTTAGGTATAAGATCAATGTTAGTGGGAAATTATTGAGCTTAATAAGTTGCCCTTCCCAAGATAAAAATAGTCTTTGAAATCTAATCTTTAAAGTACTTTTGAATTACACCCGCTGCTAATGCATGCTTGGTGCAGGAGTTACATTACCCAGGAACAAAATCAGGAATTCATAAGGTGCGGCTAGTTGTTTACAACTCATAAAAATGCTCAATATAAGTAAATGAAAAACAAAACAAATTTTAAAAAAATAAAAAATATCCTTTCGAAAATAATTTTAGCAAGTTTCTTGGTCTTCGAACAGCATCATCGTTTAAAAATATATTAAGTGTTTTGGCTGAGTCAGTTACAATACAAATGTTTCAAATCTCCTGACGTTTAAATTTTTTTTTCTTTTTTTTTTTTTTTGAGCACGAGGAGAGGAAAGATACCTTTTCATTTGTCTCAACATGGAAATGATCTTTTCTGCTTTCTTT